TGATTTTTGCATTAGTCAAATTTAAAACTTGATTTTTGAATTGTTTATTGTTAATCTCACTTTTTAACTCTTCCCTTCTATATATAGCCCCAATTGATGCTATGGCCCGGCCCATGTTAGCCTTAAAAGGGTAAAGATCCATCAAAGTTCTGTCTGTAGAAGCTCCCCTGAATTTCGGGTAATCTCTGAAGGTACTTAATTATCGTTTCTATTTTCGTTTTTAAGTTTCAATTTTGGGAATTTTGTTTGATTTAATACTTTTATTATGTTTCGTGGTTCTAATTAATGAATTATTTGATTATGCTAATTGATTAAAGTTCAAATAGATCGAACTGCTTCAATGGGGAAAAATGAAGAATACAGAAATCCTTCCACTTCGAGACATGTTAATTGCATGCTTGATTAAATGACTACTCTATAAACAATTTCACTTTTGATTTATGAAGCATGTAACTTTGAAATAACAAATTTGTGCATTGGATCTTGACACGTGAAGTTGAAATAACAAATTTGTGAACTAGGTTTTGTGAAATTGAAACGGCATATTTGTCTATTATTTAGTACGAAGCCAGCTACAACTCGCGATCGACCGGCAACCACGCCGTGAACCACCAACTGGTGCGACTTTGTTTTCCATTTTTGAGGTTTTTTTTTTTTTTTCAAAATAATGCCTTAATTGAGGCAACAGATCTCACTGTAAATCTTTCAATTGGCTCATGATTTCCTTTTAGCTTCTAATTTGACTTCTTAAACTGGGGACTAAGATTTGGCAATCCTCACCTTTAAGTAGCAAAGCCTTGACTGGAACAAAAAATGGTACGGAATTATTCTTAGGTGAGTTCAATGAGTTCTGGGAGAATGAAGGTATATTGAGACATTATTCTATGGAAAACACAACACACCAAAACATAATTTTAGAGTGGAGAATGGTAATAGCAAAAGAGGTATTGCCTAGTTCTTTTATAGAGTGCTAATACTTGAGATTGTCTAGGTATCCTACTTCTTAATCATAAGAAGGATATAGAATTTGGATTGAGGATAGACTAAAACACTAGTAAGCACGGGAAGTTAAGACTTTTGATTTTTTTAACAATGAAACACTTGAAGAACTCAATTGGTAATAACATGGAGGAAGGATTTCTCGCTGCTTTGACCTATAAAAAAAAAAAAAAAAGAATTTCTCGCTGCTTTGGTGACCCTCTACATAATTTGTTGTGAAAATAGATGTAGATTTTATTATAGATGAATTTTATAGTGAAAAAATTGCCGGCGTAGCTTCAGTGGATAATGTCAATTTTTGACTTTTAGTTTTATATTAATTTTATTCCGACATTGACTCTTAATTTTCTGCCTCCCTTGTGTCTTTGAAAGAATAACATCTATTCATCTTTATTTAAATCATGGTTTCTTAAGAAGCGACACCCAGTCAAGCTCTAGAATGCCATCTTCTACCATGTAGTGCACTCCATGATCATGTGTGTGCAGATTGTTTACATGCACGTGTCATTTGCATCATATTCCCTAAACTTCACATTGGTAGGATATGGCTTGCTACATGTAGTTAGTGCCAAAAGTTATAAGAATGTTTTTAGTTCCATTGATATTAAACATCACGCAATCCATAAAAAATGGATTTAAAGAAGATCCTATTTATAAAATTAAAGTACATAAAGGGCTAGGAGAGGTTTTGGGGCATAGAAAGGCATGTGATATCACTTGATCCTGTTTCAGACGCACCATTTTGTTTTTTTTAATTGCCTTTTTCATTCATTTTGGTATTGCAATTTGCCATATCTCATACTTTATCAACCTTACAGGGGCTCAGCAGTTGTTTATCTTATTGGCACTTTGTAGATTCTTAAATGGACAGTATCGTAGATTCTGTGAATAATGCGTATCAGGAGTTTATTGCAGCTGCAGCCAGCTTTCTGGAATCAAAAGAAAACTCTGGTGGCCAAAAGACTCTGGCCAGTGATGTGGCCCTTGAGAACTTTAAGCAACGATGGGAATTGTTCAGAGTCGCTTGTGATCAAGCAGAAGAGTTTGTGGAATCTGTGAAGCAAAGAATAGGGTCTGAGTGTCTAGTGGATGAGGCCACTGGCTCTGTTGCTCAGAAACCTGGACAGCCTGTTCAAAGTGGTCTTCCACCTATCAGTGCTGTTCGATTGGAACAAATGAGTAAAGCCGTCAGATGGCTAGTGATTGAATTGCAGCAAGGTTCTGGAACTGGTGGTGGTTCATCGCAACCCCACCCTACAGCTCCTTTTGATGCTCGATTTACTGAAGATGCTGGTCAATAGGTATTCTAAACATTCTTTACACAATTTGGTGGAGGTCGTGAACCTGGAACTTCTCCGCGTCATAGTATAGTTAGCCAGGAAGCTGATAAAAAAAATTTCAACCTGAGTTTTTCTGTGAAAGGCCCATATCTTCTTCATAGTATTTAAAGTAAACTTTGTAGCTGATAATATATTTAATTATCGAAGAAAAATAGTTATTCATATTTTAAGATGGAGTCCCTTAAAAGTAGAGTTCAGGATTGATCTAAGCTGCCATTTGCCTTATTTAGTGGTTGGCAATTCATGGCTACTGTGTTTATTTTTGCAGGAAAGAAGCTTTCTACTTCGATTATGTACTTCAACAGGCCACTGAGAACCCACGTTCATGTTGGTAAACAGACTATTCAAGTAAACGTGCCTGGGAATGTATCTGAAAGGCAGTATATAAGTTATGAAGCATTTCTCACTAATGTACTTCCAAGTTTCGACTGCATTCTCTCGTGTTTTGTAATATTAAGTTTGTCTTGTACACGTGAATCTTGATTCAATTATGTTGCTTGTATTATGCAATTGTTTTGCCAGTGAGATTGTAATTTTAAAAGTGTAACGCGTACCACCCGACATGGCCCGTCTGAAGCTCGAATGAAGTTTACTCTGTTAGTTAATCTTGTAATGAAAACCATTGGCTTTGCTGCAAGATTAGAATGATCCTAGGCTAACTAAACCAATACTCCTAATAAATAGTTTGTCCTTAAAACCTTTTTGACTGTTGAGTTTCGTTAATAGTCTTTTCCTTGTTAACGTATGGGGTGATCGTACGATTCTTGTCGTATGGGTTTCTACTCAAGCTCTTCCTGTTATCTGTATACCTTGCGATCTCTCATACGCAAAGTTATTCAAACGCTCCCGCTTGCTTGCGAACTTTTTAAAATTTCTTGAAATGTGTTTGAATACAACTCCCTCAATTTTATTTTATAAAACTAATTCCTTTTATTTATCATTATCTAGTAAAAGCATGAGCTCGCACTCCCCATCACGGAGATGTAAGCATACCTAGCATCCACCTTGATGGGTTAATTATGTCGATGATCACTGAAGTTTTGAGTATTTATCCCAATTGTCATTGAAGTAGGGACCATTAATGTAATGACTCAAAACATCGGTGATTACTGGCTTTATTAACCTACCTTCGTACTTGTGGGTACCCATATCCCATTTGAGGCCATCTCGAGTGGGTCATAAAGAGAGGAGGTGTTAACTATATTGTCATATATATACCAATATGACCCAACTTTGATAATTTAGTATAGTCTATATCGGGATGTGATGGTCTTATATTTTTATAAAATAGTTGTGGATCGATTTATGTTGCTTTCCTTTAAACTTTTCTAGAGCTTCCAATAGCATCAAGATAGATATTAGTTCCTTACCTACACAAATGGAGCAACAAAAGTTTAGAGAATTCAAGAGGAAGTCTCTTATCCAAATCGTGGGAATCAATGGAAAATGCAAATTCCTTACTATAGATAAATTCAAAACATTTTTCGAATAAGTCCAAGTAGTCATGCCCAATACAACCCGACTCTAGAGGTCCTAGACCAATCTTTCACTGTGATGTATGGCCATTCTGGCACCTGCGTTAAAAACATTTGAAAATTTATGTAGCCCTATTGTTTGAATTGATTATTTGAAAATCAATTTTCTCATTTTTAATCACACATTCTCCAAAAAATTACTCACATTTTTTCACTAATTTTCCCTTTGGCCACGTATTCACAAAAAAATTACTTTTCAAATAATCAATTATATAGAAGGGCTTAATCAACTACAAAATCAATTATAAAAAGGGGAAAAAAGAAATCGTATCTCACCTATTAAGTATGCACCAAATCAAATCTCGGAGATAACTTTCAAAATGCAAAAGTCATGTTTTATTTTGTTTTAATTTCCAATAATAATATCATCAAATTAAATTAATCTATCAACACCCACTCCAACAGCCCCCATCCCACTCGTTGGCGTCCACCTGCCCTCGTCATCCCCCGACCTCCACCTCGTTGGCGACTTCTTTAGCGACGAACTGATCGCCTCTTAGTGACGACTAAGTTCATCGGTAACTAGGACTGAGTAGTGCTAGTATAATTTAAAACTTTTTTTTTTTTTTAAATTGAAAATTGAAAAACAACTCCTGGTATAATTTATAGAGCACTTATTGAAGCAAATAACTTGAATTCTTACCGCCTAAATTTGGTTAATTGAATATATGACTAGTTTCGATAACTGAGATCAAAGAAATCAATGACGTGACCAGATCTGTTGAATTTGTGACATGTGACTTATACAAACACGTGACCTAATCCATTGGCATTTGATCAAATCTCTTAGATATGTGACATGAGCCAATGGTCTATGACCAAATATCTTGAATCCGTGACCTATGACGTATGCATTTGACGTGTGACATACTACCTGATTCAATGCATGTGAACAAATCTCTTGGATATATGACCAAATCTCATGAATTTGTGACTTGTGACTTATACACTTTGACATGTGCCTTGCTACATGTGACCTTGACTTAATCCAATGGCAGGTGAACAAATATCTTCGATTTGTAACCCGTGCCCTTGACCAAATCTCGTGAATCTATGACTCATGATCTATGCACTTTGACACGTGACTCATGCACTTTGACAGGTCTCATATTCAAGATATTTGGTCACATAAATTCAATCGATTGTGACCTACACCACCATCACCACTTGTGGACATTGATCCACCACCAACATTCCACCACAACCACCACTATAACACTTCAGCAGAACCACCACTATCACACTATCTCTTGAGAATAACATCTATAGGAATATTTTGAAAAAAAGTGAAGAAATACATTTCTCATTTCCATATTTTCCCTCTCTACTTGTGAGAATATTCTCTCCATCCTAGCATAAGTTTCACGTGATATCAGAGAGATAGTGCTTCCAATCATGGGGACACACCTAGGAACTGAAATCGAAGGCAACACTAATAATTCTTTGTCGGATACTCCTCAAGGTGAAGATCCAGTGATTGTTGCTCTTCGAATGATATCAGAGCCTTCGAATCCTTATTACATGCATTATGGAGATAACACAAGTATGCATATTGTTTCAGTTATACTTTTTGATGATAATTACTCGACCTGAAGCTGTGCTGTTGAGATGGCGCTAGTGTAAAGAATAAAGAAGGTTTTATTGCAAGTTCTATTCCTAAACCTCCTGTGGATTCACCTCTGTATGCGGCATGGCGTAGGTGCAATCATATCGTTTCATCATGGATTATCAATTCAATGCCTAAAGAGCTATATTATAGTGTAATACATAAGGATTCAACTCATCAAATCTGGATAGAGTTGAAGGATAGATACAGCCAAAGCAATGGACTTCAGATCTATCAATTAAAGAAGATGATTGTCTCTATTTCACAGGGAAATGAATCTGTTAGTGCATATTTTAATAGATTGAAAGGCCTATGGGATGAATTATCCAACTATAGACCTTAGGTTCATAATGCTTATTATGAAGAGGAACAGATCTTGCAGTTTCTAATGGGGTTGGACAGCTCTTATTCCAATGTGCGCAGTCAGATTTTGATGATGGAGCTCCTACCTCCATTAAATAAGTGTTTACATTGGTACTATAGGATGAAAAGCAAAAGGATGTGGCACTTAAAGTTCAAACTAATTTTGATGCTGCTGCTTTTATGAGTAGAATGATGGCTTGATCGATGAACACTGGTGGTAATCAAGGTGGAAAACCTATGCATAATAATCAAGGTCTAAGGAAGGAAAAACCTAAATGTAGCTACTGTGGTATGCTTGGCCATTGCAAGCAAAGTGTTACAAGCTCCATGGATATCCTCCAAGGCACAGGTTGGCAAAAGACAAAGGCAAAGGATCTATCCCAAGTGCAAATTAAGTGATTAGAACCACGTTTTCGAATTTATCTAATCCATACTCCAATCTGACTATAACACCAGAGCAGTGCCAACATGTTCTCAATATGCTGAAACCACAGCTCCAAGGTCAATTCTCAAATCTGACTATACATCCTAGTGCTGCTACAAGTCAAAATCAGAACAATCTGATGATCAACCAACTTGATGGCATGAAAATGTCCTCACCTCAAGTGCCAACTATACCTGACTTCGTAGCCTTTTCAGGTAATAGTTTCTGTCTAGCTGTCTCAGAGGTAAAGGAAAAATGGATTATTGACATGAGAGTGACAGACTATAGGTGTGCTTCATTGATCACTTAACTGACATTACTGCTGTGGTGAATGCAAATGTCAAACTTCCTAATGGGGAAACAACCAATGTGACTCACATGAGCACTGTGAAGCTGTCTGAAACTCTGTCATTGACTAATGTGTTGTGTGTTCCATCATTCAAATGTAATCATATTTCAGCCAGCAAACTTATTTTTTCTCATCATTGTTGTTTAGTATTTCTGTTCAATCATTGCTTTATTCAAGACCTCTTTATAGGGACAATGATTAGAGTGAGGAAACTTGAGGCTGGTCTGTATCACTTTAGTTCAAAACTCCTTCAAGCAATGGACCATTCTCTACCACTCGATCCACTTCTCATCAGCTCCATACAAATCCTCATATACCTGTCAATGTTCATTGTAATAAAGTCATGAATAATGATGAAGTTCCTAGCATTATTGTTGGTACTAGCATACCTTTTGACCAGTCGCACTATAGGTTAAGACATGTGCCTTACTCTAAAGTCTCAATTTTACATAAATTTGAACCTGAGATTATATCAAATTCTGATTTCCATTGTAATATTTGTCCTATGGAAAAACAACATCGATTGCCTTTTCTGACGGTATGCATATTTCTAAGTCAATTTTTGAGCTCATTCATTGTGATATCCGGGGTCCCCATCAAGCCCAATCTCTTGACGGTTCACAATATTTCCTAACCTTAGTGGATGACTATAGCAGGTATACCTGGACATTTCTGATGAGAAATAAATCACAAGCCAAACAGCTTATACAGACCTTCTTTCATATGATTGAAACTCAATTCAACACCAAAATTAAAACTGTAAGGTCTAATAATGATACTGAATTTGTCTTAAGTGATTTCTATAATTCCAAAGGGGTTGCATATCGAAAGAGCTACATTGAGAGACCACAACAGAATGGTATTGTGGATTGCAAACATCAACACTTGTTGAATGTTGCTAGAGCATTGAAATTTGAAGTTAAACTCCCAAACCAATTTTGGGGTGAATGTGTCCCGACTACCACTTATCTTATCAATCGTGTATCCAGCACATCCTTGTCAAATAGATCACCATATGAGATCTTATTTTCAGTAAAACCTGTTTATTCCCACTTGAG